CTAGAATCAATCGATCTAAATATCGTTTTAAAAAGGAATTCTCCACAATTTCGTAAGATTTTCCAAGAAACCAATCGTCGTCAACAACAAAGCATCATCGATTCAAAGTTGTTGCATGTAAAATTCCACCGGAAAAAGATAGATTTTCCCGAGAAAATTTACAAAGAAGCGAGAAAAAAGACTTACCCTCCGCATCCATTGCCGCACTTGCAGCCAGATCCACAACCGCAGTTTCCTCCACAGCAAGACATTTTCTCGAGAAAATTCAGAGAGAAATTAAACCAAATTGATCGATATTTAGAGAATTGATAACAAAATGAAACTAAAGACAGAGGAAGCTCTCAGATATATAAGCTAAATGACAGAATATTGACCATACACGTGTCGCGATCATTCTCCGCTCTTATCTCTCCAAAACTATTTATTTGACGTTTTTACCCTTCGCTTATTGATTCAAGGACAATAATTGTGGAGCGAGTGTTGGTTCCGGTACATTCTAGAGCATACCGTAGTTCGGTGTGTTACCGTTTATCTACCGTTCAGATTTACACCGCCTTACATGAAGATCTAAATATACGGTTGTGATCTAAAGTTTATATTTAACCACTCGTGTCCACCACAAGGACGCATGACGCATCGTTCTGTACCCCCTTCCATAGGAAATATATTTAAAGATTTTTATATTCGTGTTTAAGAATTAACCAAATTATTATGGGAACAATTTTTACCATAGTAAATCTAAGATATTATTAGCAAGGGAAATATCTACAAAAATCTAAAACAGTTTAGATCATGATATGATTAGAGTTCTTTTTTTGTTTGTCGTCTCTAAATAAAAAAGTTTGAAACCCCAATAAAAGAAGAGAAAAATCTGTTGAAAAATAGAAGGCGAAAAATCTTTAAACGAAGAATGCACATGTATGGTCGGGAGATATGTAGTAGGAAAAATCAGTTCTCCAATCTTATCCGAATGAATAATATTCCAACTGATAAAGTATATGAAAAGTGATTTATTGATCTTGGCAAAAAGTGATTCCAATCATTCCATGCAAATGATTAAAATGTATTCGAAAGTCAGGAGATGAAAATATCTAAGCATGTGACTTAACAACAGAAAATATCTACGTGCAAGAATGTCAAATTGATCAATGAGCAAGTTCTTTTCTTTTTGGTTTTAGCCAACCGGTTAATTATACACTTATACTCGTATTTACTTTACCAATATTGTAGTTTAGTTTAGTGACCAACACGACAAGATCAATACCCTTTAACTTTGCTACAATACAATGACTTTTTTTCTCTATCACGAACATAATTCAATATTTGATTAGCCAAATACAATACAAAAGTATTTGGAAACCAATGGAAATAATACAAAAAAACTAAATTTCTTTGTCGAACGTTCCTATCAAGTAGGTCTGTCTTCGCATTCATTTCCTTGAAACAATACATTAGAGTAAAGTCTAGGAAAAAAGCTCGTAATTCTTTCGACTCTTCCAATTCTGTTTTCAATCGCGGCCAGTTGTCTGGCTCAAGCATCATAGTAGTTAACTCCAGGAAATATGTGGCGAACACCGCATAATATCTCTTTTTCCTCCGTAAGCTCTCCAATACCCATAACAGACTATGCAACTCTGTGTGTAAAGGGGACAAACTCCGACACATTCCATGTATCCTATGAGGTCTATCTCGTCATTTTGTAACTGCAAAATCCATCCTATCCCAGTCGTGGATTCCCCTTTAATACAATGATTATACGATCTTCTTGCATTATATATAATTTTCACTAAACTATATTGGTTAAAAAAATTACAACATATTGGCAAGAAATAATATCAACAACAAAAACTCAATGGAACCCCAACAAAAAAAAATTAAAGTTACTTTAATTAGCCTCTTCAGAAGATGCG